GACTCCTCACATACCACAGTTAGAAAACCTTGGCTTCAGGGACCTGATTTATGAATCATTTTCTGATGGGAAAGATTCTATTTGCTAGCCTTGATGCCAGAATAATGAGAAGGGAACTTGGAGGTCTTCTAGTCCAACCTCCTGCCCATACAAGGGTTCTGACCTAGTCTTCCCTAGAAAGCAAGAAGCAAAGTCTTGGTTGCTGCAAAACCTCTTTTATTCACACGACTGTGAATTCCTTTCATTCACAATCAGCAAGGCTTTAGCAAACAGTCTTTCAGAGGAATGTTTATCCACACGCACCTTATCTCATTTGGAGTGCTGCCAGATAACTAGTTTCCAAACACAGGGCAAAGCAAAACTTGGCACAGAGTCTCTTATAATCACAAACAGAACTTTCCTCTTGAACCGACAGAAGGAACAAATTGTTTCCTGCAAAAGCCTACTCCCCTTTCACTCCTCTTTTGTTCCCTATGGGAGGAGTCAATCACCTCCAAGGTGTGGCTTTACTCCTGAGTCGACCCTGCTTTCTTAGCTGTTCTTGTTTTCTGGCAGCTCTGTGCATGCGCACACTGGGAACAGGCTCCAGCTGTTTCTCTGCCTTGCTGCTGTCTAGTTCCCTCTCTGCCTTCAACACAGAGGCCTCGTCTGAGCTTTCCTCAGCCCCCAGGACAGGCCTATGTTCCTCCCCAACCTCCTCACTGTCCGACTCTGCTGCCAGCTCTGTTGGCTGCCGGCGGGCCACAATAAGGTGGATCACTTACAGAAGGGTATCAGATTCCTGCCCCTTGGAGGCTCTTGTCAATCAGCTGTTGATCCCCAACCTTTTACTGACACCCATTTGAGCCCCAGCCACTTATTTATTTATTTATAATATTTATTGTGGTTGCCCATCTCACCACAGGGTAACTCTGGATGGCTTAGAATCTTTTAGACCACACACACACACACACAAAGACGCAAAAAGGTTTCCCTGTCACATGTGTTCCACTCTGGAGCATGGTGCTCATTCCTGTTTCTTGGTTGAGGGAGCTAGCGTTGTCTGAAGACAATTTTTGTGGTCTTGATCTTGATTGTATCCCTCTGTTAATGCAATTTAGGATTACTGGCTTTTTTGGCTGCCGGTGCACACTGCTGGTTCATATTTAACTAGTTGTCCACTAAGACTCCAAGATCCCTCTCACAGGTGGCCAGCTATTCTCACTGGTGGCCAGCCATTGAACACTGAGTAACACTATCTCACCATTAGCCACCTTACCTTCAAGTTTAAGGACTGGTGTGGAGCTCTATAGAGACCTCAAAAGATTAACAGAACCCAATTGGCCTTCCATCATTTAAAGAAGTAAAGGTTTCCCTGTCTAGTTGTGTCTGACTCTAGGGTGGGAATTACCATATTTTTTCAGAGTATAAGACACACTCACCCCCATAAAAAAGAGGGTGAAAATTTGGGTGCGTCTTATACACCGAATGTGGTCCCGCCCACCCACCAGCCCCCAACCTTTGGCCTCTGCCTTCCAGCAATTTGCCTCCTTGCAGCAAACTGTTTCAGTTTCAGCACAGCTTGATTAGCACAAGCAGCTGATTGTAGGTTGGAATGGCCTCCCGACCATCAGCTGTTTCAGGTTGCAGGGATTGCCATTGCCTATTGCTGCCTCTGTGTGCCCCATTTTTGGCCTCTGTGTGTCCCATTTTCCATCCATTCCGATCCCCACTGCCTGGAATGGGTGGAAAATATGGCGCGCACAGGCGGCCATAGGCTATGGCAATCCCTGCAGCCCGAAACAGCTGATTGTCGGGAGGCCGATCTAACTGACAATCAGCTGCTTGTGATAATCAGGCTGTGCTGAAATTGAAACTGAAACAAGCTGTTTGCTGCAAGGAGGCAAATTGCTGGGAGGCAGATTTTTTTTCTTGTTTTCCTCCCCAAAGCTAGGTGTGTTTTATACTTCGGAGCATCTTATACTCTGAAAAATATGGTATTTGTACATTAACAAAATAAACACATAAAGAAAATGGGAACCAGTCCAGTTTGGGTTAGCCATTGATAGTCTTGTATTGCAGTTTGGTTTTAGAATTCTGCCTTTCTTTTCTTTGTGTGTGATACTGCAGGTGCCATCTACACCCTGCTGGTTTTGAAAGAGCCTTTTGCCATGTGCGTCCCAGCCACTGTCTCCTTGGGCCTTTTGCTCCTCCTCAACATCCGTGGAAGAGGGAAGTGTGTGAAGTCAAAGTCTGAATGAGATCTGGAGAGATGGGAAGGATTCAAAATGAAGCTTTTGGAAGGACAGACAACTGGTGTTTCCCATCCTGCTCCCCGACTAATCAGATCATGCGGACTTTACAGTGTATAATCCAGAAAGGGGGTTAAATCTTCACGGTCATGGCCTATTTTTTCTCCTTTCTTAACTGTCCATTTTGTCCGTTTTCCATCCCTCTTTAAACCTGATTGGAGAGCTTGTCTTCTCTGCAAAACCAGTCTCTCTCTCTCTCTCTTCGGTCAATGGCTACTTCTTGTGTTCAGGCAAGGAGATAACATGGAACAGAAGAAAATACCACATTTAGAAAAGGGCCGAGAATGAGGGTTATGTGAGATTGTGGTTGGGCACTAAAGAATATTGTTGAGGGTAAAAGAGGCCTTGGAATTCTGCAGAATGATATAATCAAAGGACCAAGATAGATCTTGTACCAGTTATACATTGTAATGCTTCATTTCTGGATTTTATTAACTTTGCTATCAACCCATCTTGGCCTGATCTAAGATTAGGACTTACGTTTGTTGGTTGAGGAAGTATAGGTTAATCATGATCCCTCATCCTTTTCCCAAAAATTAAATTTAATTCCATTTACCCAATACTTTTTTTTAACCATTTGCATCAAGCAAAAGGTCCTTTTTATCATTCCAGTTTTGTTAATTGGTCATGAATTTGGGGAAATAAAAGTAAAGGGGATGAATAGATTTCTTCGAATAAGCATGAGATGATCTTGAGCCATTGCCATTTATAAGAAATAATCAATAGGTTCAAATTTTATGTCCATATTTGGGGGGGACTGAAGGTTGGTTGGGAGCTTTTGGCTTGTTTTTCTTAAAAAAAAAACTTTTAAAGACAAGTGGGAGTGGCTCAGTGCTTTGGATTCAAAGTGGAAAGATGCTCCAGAGCAGGGTTTCTCACCCTTGACAACTTTTAAGGTGTGTGGACTTCAATTCCCAGAATTCCCCAGCCACCAATGCTGGTGGGGGAATTCTGGGACTTGAAATCCACACTACTTAACTACCAATAAAGGGGAATATTTGTAGCTCAGGGTTGAAATGAGGGATCCATGGTGCTCTCTGAGCTTATTAATAGTTAAATACAATGCATAAATACAATCTGCATACTTTGCAAACGAGACAATCAACAAGCCAAAAGGGAACACGAAGACCTCCCCACCAGAAATCAACACCCAGATGAACACAGATTAATTCCAAAATTAACATCAGACTAACAATGAAGTAAACAAATACAAGGAACTGCCAATAACTATAACACTTAGACTTATATACTTTCACAGTGCTTTTACAGCCCTCTCTAGGTGGTTTACAGAGTCAGCCTACTGCTCCCAACAATCTGGGTCTTCATTTTACTGACCTTGGATGGATGGAAGGCAGAATCAACCTTGAGCCAGTCAAGATTGAACTGCTAGCAGCAGTCAACAGAAGTAGCCTGCAGTACTGCATTCTAACCACTGCGCCACCATGGCTCATATGCCAAACAACTGCCAAACAAGCCAACAGCAAACAGCCCAACCCAAGAACTTCTAAGACAACCCCACCCACCCACCCAACACTGACAGGGCTAGCTATTAGAATATAAACTGACAGCAAAC